AGTGGTGTATCACCCTTTTTTTTACTTTCTCGTATATACGAATTATAGAGAAAGTATTGTAATCGACAAAAAAAAATCGAGATTTTACAAATCTCGACGTTTTACACCTCGCTGATACGGAAAAACATAATTTTGCAATCTTGTCCGTATGTCTGTGTGTGTGTGTGTGTCTGCGTGTAAACACGATAACTAGAGTGCCGTTACAGCTAGGTTGATGAAATTTTATATATAAGTATTTTATCAAAATCGTAGATCCTGATCAACGTTTGAGCGATTTCCGATAAACAGAAGTGGTACGTTTTCTACTTTGAATTTTTAAAAAGCCTATAACTTGAGTACTCTTTCATATAGATAAATGAAATTTCACATGTAAGTAAAAGATCTAATTTTCTACCTTCTGTCAAATTTTGAGTAATTTCCGTTGACCGGAAGTACTAATTTACGCTATTTCTGATTTCTCAAAAACCGCATGTAAATTTATCAAGTACTCATAATATTGCGCACTATTATGCACATTTTATTAGGCGTTCACTTGGTGTGCAATTCTTTTTTTTACAAGTTTCCATTCTATTATAAAACGTTTAAGTATTGGACACCAGCGAGAAAAGTCTCAAAGGTATTTGAGAGGTCCATAAATTAATTTAGAAATCATGCATGGCATAGTTACAATTAACATGGTTATAAAATCCTGTCTGTCGGGTTTTTTTTCGGACTTTACTAAAGATTGGATGTATTTGATGTTTTTAATATTTTTGGTAACTAAATAAAAATTTACAAAAAGCAAAAACAATTTGGTTTTCACGTGTTATGGCGACATAAACAATGGCATCCTGTTATTCGATAGGCCGCCATAAATTTTATTGTACACATTGTAAGCTAAAATAGAAAAGCTAGGTTATGGGATTTAAATTTGCATTGTTATTTAAAAACTTGATCTGCAAAGTTTTGTAAACAAATAGTTATCGACCACTAAGTTACTGTACAGCCTATCAATATTTGTCTTACGAAAGTGGAACATCCGGTTATAACTTAGGCTTGATGAAAATAAATAGAAATTTAATGTAGCCTTAAACTCAACAAATTATTTTCAAGTTCTCTGGATTTGCAACTTTTGTAGCATTTATTCTAAAAATATAAAATTTCTAAATTAATTTTAGGCTTAAATTTTTTTTTTTTTTTTTTTTACGGTCTAAATCTAAAAAGCACGTGTTTATTCCATGTCAACAATATTATGGAAGAAATCTCGTCAACTCACTGGTGTCCATTAAAAATGGATTACAAATATTATATATGTCCTGAGTTGCCATCCTTCGTAGTTTTATATTAGAATATTCGAGAAAGGAAAGTTTAGGGGAGATAACTCCCGGTTTATTTATATTTGATGTAGTAGGTAGAGTCGTAGCCCGCTAGAGAAACCTGGTTCTGCACTCGCGGATAATTGACGAGGTGAGTAATACGTTCCAGAGGGGCCCTTATTATAAATGCATATTATATATATATATATATATATATATATATATATATATATATATATATATATATATATATATATATATATATATGTGTGTGTGTGTGTATGTGTGTGTTTGTGTGTGTGTGTGTTTGTGTTGTGTGTGTATGTGTGTGTGTTTATATGGTAAAAACAGACTTGCAATCCATCGGACGAAACTAATTGAATTTTGTTATTTCGCAGACGTGCTCTTCCTCTTCTCGTATGGTCAACATCAACTTGTTGTAAAACATTTTTTAAACATTTTAATTAATTAAAGTTATCCGCTCTACTGTTATTAAAATGTATCCATTTTCTAGGAATCTAGCCCAGAATAATATTTGACATTAATTAGTTTAATACACACACTAACAAACACACATATTACATATTATATATATATATATATATATATATATATATATATATATATATATATATATATATATATATATATATATTATATTTATATAAAGACCCATAAATATGCTTAGGTCAATAAACTCAACCATACGACCTAAATAAACGCAAGTACGGATGCGAAAAATAAATTATTTTACACTAGCATAAAACCATTAAACTAAACAGCTCTAAGTCACTCTGAGTGACAGCATTGTAGCCCTACCCCTCCTCTCCACACTTATGATTAATTTAAGTGGTCTACCTGTCTCAACGGGCACCCTAAATGCCGGGACAAAAGACATTTATTTATTCCATTGTGAGCCGTCGTCTAGAATATTACCCACACCCGTCAATTACCCCAAGGATTCCCCCCCCCCGGTATCCTTACCTCCCCAAACACCCGGAATTTCCACCCCCTCCACGAAGTTTAAGAATCTGTCTAACTACAAATCTGCACCTATATATTATATTAATCCTAACCTTAACAAAACTATAACTGAACTCAACCGCAACCCCGGATATTCGTTTAAGGCTAACCCAACAACCCAGAGGCGTTGCAACCCTTCCCGGCGCCCGAGGACAAACTTTCAATTTGGCGCCCCCCCCCCCCTCAACTTTTTTATTTGCACCCCTCCCCCCCCCCGCTCAAACTTTCGAATTGCACCCACACCCCCCCCCCCCTCAAACTGCAACAAAATGAAGCTAAAATGACATTTTAATTTGTTTTTACAACCAATTTTGGCGCCCCCTAAAATGTGTCCCCCCCTGCCCCCCCCCCCCCCCATCGCTACGCTCCTGCAACAATCCTAACCCTAACGCTAACGCTAACCCTAACCCTATCCCTAACCCTAACCCTATCCCTATCCCTATCCCTAACCCTAATCATAACCCTAACGCCAACCCTAACCCTAGCCCTAACCCTAACACTAACGCTAACCCTAACCCTAACCATAACCCGATCAGGCCATAAATGAGTATCCTACGTTCATATATTTGTTTTGTATATATATATATATATATATATATATATATATATATATATATATATATATATATATATATATATATATATATATATATATATATATATATATATATATATATATATATATATATATATATATATATGGGGTGGGGGAAGCCAAAAAAAAAGTTCGGTATTGGCCCTTTTTTTCTAGTTCCGCCACTGAATGGTAGTACATATTAATGTTAGATCCCTCAATTCTTATTATTGACAATTAATGTTGAGCCACCTTATCTCAAAATGTTTTAATGACTGACAGTGTGTCAACCAGTAATACAGTCCACCCCACCACTAAAACATTTAAAATAGACCAATCAACCTTGAATCTTTGACAATCATGGCGTCATAAAAACAAAGCGTTCCGTGCGGTTTTGTCAGCCATTTTCCAAACAATGAACGGTTGACAAGGATTACACCCCTCCCCCTTCCAAAACCATTTAGGCGTATGTTGGTAGACGCACTCAAATCAGGATTGACAGTAACGGTTGTGTATGTATAAGTCCGCATATTGTGTGCCAAACGATCGAGAACAGGATCATGAGCTCCTCCACTAGTACGAGATGGTATAAGATGTAGAGTTGTTGGTCTGTATCGTCAGTCCTTGTTTACATAATGTTTTACGACAAACACCTACTGTCATATTCTGACCAATACAATTTGTTAAACAGCTTTTTAATATTATAAACCTAGATGGTTAACATTTATCTGCAGCCATATTTTACAAAACAGATAATCCAGCATCAAGATTAGCGATACACTATCAAGTTCAACTTTTATTCAATGCTGGATTTCAGTCGTGAGTGTCTAGCACGTCCTGCGGTTGTGAGGAGTCTATGTGCAAGATTATAATTCTGAAAGTCAATGATCCTGTGGTCTATCACTGTGCGCATGCAACATTCATGTGTCTTCAGTATGCTGTTGAGTCTGGTAGACTGATGAAAATATCATGAGCCTCCTGGACAATCCTCAGACTCTTGGCTTGGACATTCCTGAAACTGCTGGACAACTCTGAGAATTTTTCTTTTGCAAACCTGTGACTGCTGGACTAGCACAATTCTGTGGTGTGATTAACAGTATGTTTGACAATCCTGGGGCATTTGGAAAATCATTAAGATAGGACAATCCTTAGCCTGTTAGCCATCATTGAGACAGTTTAACAATAACCAGACAACTAGACAATCCTGAGTCTGCTGAACAATCCTGATTCGGATCAATATCTCAACGTCTTCCTCCGTGTAAGTACAAAATTAAATTATTATAAAATGTATAGCCTGACAGTAACAAATGTTCACAATTTTATTAATGCCGTGAACATAGCAGTAGATAGATTCTAGTTCAACTATTTTTCAGCTCCAATTAAAGTTCTATTTTTTATCTCTTTAAACCTACTGCCTATTTTAAAACTATTTTTAACAGTCAAAATTATTTCTTTCCGAGTCATCTTCACCAACTGCTTATTTCAAAACGGATTTTTACTTAAAGTTTGATGTTGTTTTTATCTTGAAGCTATGTGTATTTTAAACAATTGAATATATTAATCTCCGTCTTTATTCTATTGCCTCCGCTTTGGTCGATGAATAAGAGAAAAGAAATCGTTCGCGGTAAATTTTACTTGCAAAACGTTATAGCTTAGATGCTGCTCGATAACCAACGTGAAGAAAAAATCATTGCAATGCTATTAAAGTCAGGGGGAAACTACCCTTACGGAAAGTTAGTGCCTGGTTAAATTCAGGCTTTACATTCATGTTTTAATCTTATTTTGTTTTAGCGCTAAATGTGTTTTCTATCACACATCGGTGGTATTTATTTGTAGAATTATCTTGAACAGATGTAGTGAGTTACATTGAAGTACGTAATAAACTGCTTCTGTTTAAGAGTATTTAAGACCGTTTCTGGACGCTACACTGCGACTACTGGTAGAGATAAAATATTATTTTAAAATAAGTTAATATCTAATAAGCATTTTATAAAATGCACGCATACTAATTCTATTTGGAATTAACAGAGAAACATTAAAACAATCGTATTTGCTTTAATATCATGCAATCATTTATTTAATATATTTTATAGAGAGTTTTACACTTATTAAAATTGTTGGTAAATGAATAATTTCTTAACAAAGAAAAATGTATATGGTTAAATATTGCTGGGATCTGTTTTAATTATTTTTTTATGTTATTATAAACATTTTGATAACTAAATAACATAAAATCTATGATGTGTAAACATTTCTTTGATGGACAAATGTGTATAGTTTTTAAGGGGCATTGTTTCTAGTGTTTATAAATGCATTCTAATTACATGCAAAATTACATTCTAACAGGAAACATCAGGTAATAAAAAATCCATAAAGCTTGTGGCCATGATGTTTAGCTCTACGCTGTTTCCCATTTCAAGACATTCATTATTTGTTACTTGAATCATTAATCATTAAAGATGATCTTGATTAGAAGGACAACTACGATGCCAATGATGTTAGTTCCTGTGGATTATGTACATATTAGCTCGGATATATCTTCCAGCAATTCTAGTGTAACTAAAACATTAACACGATAAAGTTGTAATTAAACGAAATTCTAACAACAATTGTAGAACAACTACTGTAGCCTTATTGCAATAACTAAAGTCTTCTATTTATACATCATTCACACAGCATTCTGAAACTTTACACCAATTTGTGACCAAAATAACATACTGTCACGCACACCTACTAATTCTATTTATTTCCTCCCCTCTCCCCCACCCCCCACCCCCCACTATAGTTTCCTTCCCCACAGTCTGTACTTAGACATAAGTTTCAAAATAATAAGAAAAGAACAATCTTAGGTACAAATAGTTTTATTCTCCAAACTAAACAATATCACATAAAGTATTACCTTGATTGTATCCATTTGTTGAGTATCCAAAAGTGAGAGAATTGATAGGGTTCCAGTCATCTATTTCAAAGTAGGAAAGAGTATAACTTAAAAAATAATGCAAAAAATTTCAAAAAAACATTTTAAACGTGGCTTAAAGCTTTAACTGGACATCTATAGATCTAAAATTATTACACATATATAATTCCGATCTAACATATATTCCTGACATATATATGAAAAAATTTATTTTTAAAATTCTGTGCCATCCGAAATTTCATATCACATAATACGTATGATATTATCTCTCCTCTACGCCACATTTCTTTTTGCACTTGATAAAGCAATTTAATATACTTTTCTTACTATCAATATACGTACTACATTCATTTCAATAACTATAACGAGCCGACCCTCGGCGTCGCATACGCCACTATTTAGATGTTTTATTTTCTACTTCTCAGTACTTCATTATTTGTGAATTTGACACTACCGATGCTTCGACTAAAATTATTTTGCTTTAAACGTTTAAAACACTATTAGTAGCTCGTGAAGGGCGATTATCCTCACCTTCCCTCCCACTCCCCCTAATAGCCGTTTCTAATTCGACCCGGCTCTAAGAGTGTAAACATTCAGCGTGAACCGCAGCTCATCAGACTGGTAGGGGTGGGGGTGATAGCGATATTGACTGTTGCAAATGCATGGAGAGCGATGGAGGGGGTGGTAGAACGGTTAGAGAGTTGGTGTGTGGTGTCCAGCATGTTTGGGCGACGAAGAGATTTGTATATGGATATGTATTTTTATAAAAAAAAAGTAGGTTGTTTATTATCTCTAGTTGCAATAATAATAATATATATTTTTTTAGAAACGAAGGTTATTCATTATCCCGAGTTGCAATAATTATAATATATTTTTATAAAAAAACAAGGTTTTTCATTATCCCGAGTTGCAATAATTATAATATATTTTTATTAAAAAAACCAAGGTTGTCCATTATCCCGAGTTGCAATAATAATAATATATTTTTTATAAAACACCAAAGTTGTTCATTATCTCGAGTTGCAATAATTATAATATATTTTTATAAAAAAAAAACCAATGTTGTTCATTATCTCGAGTTGCAATAATTATAATATATTTTTAATAAAACACCAAAGTAATTTACTATCACGAGTTGCCATAATTATAATATATTTTTATTTTAAAAAACCCAGGTTGTTCATTACCACGAGTTGCAATAATTATTATAATATATATTTTATAAAACACCTATGTTGTTCATTATCTCGAGTTGCAATAATTATAATATATTTTTATAAAAAAACAAAGTTGTTCATTATCTCGAGTTGCAATAATCATAATATATTTTTTATAAAACACCAATGTTGTTCATTTTCCCGAGTTGCAATAATTATAATATATATTTTATAAAATACCTATGTTGTTCATTATCTCGAGTTGCAATAATTATAATATATTTTTATTATAAAAAAAACCCAGGTTGTTCATTACCACGAGTTGCAATAATTATAATATATTTTTTATAAAACACCAAAGTTGTTCATTATCACGAGTTCGAATCCCAGGCTGGGACCGTAAGATGTCCCTGCGTCCACCCAGCTCTGGTGGTTACATAACTTACCTTAGGGAACGCAAAGGCAGCTGGGCTAATTGCTGACCACAGTAATCTTTTATATGCCGAGGTCACAAATACAGGTGAATTTAAACCGCCTCAAACACCTTAAAGTTTCGTAAGTTAACTTTACTTACTTTACTTGTATTTAGAATACGTTACATCCTAGACCCTCATGGCATCTAACATAGTACAAAATAAATCACCAACAACAACAATTAGCGTCACACAAGGTGTAAGCTATGCCGGAACAGATTCGTTGTACTTCAGATATAAATTACCTGGCTTGATTGTTGTGTCGAACACGTTACTGCACTGGTATAACTGATCCTCCCAATCTGGGTCGGTATCGTTGAAATATCCTATCGTGTGCAAGCCACCCCAAACCGCGAGCCTATATTTAGATCCTCTAATGGGATAAAACTTGACGGAAATTGTATCGTGTTCGTTATCGCCTGTGCAATTGCATCGATCGCTTGGTGTGTTGCAATTATCGTCGCAGGGGTACAAGTAAAAGCTACATATCTGAAATAATAAATACAAAGTTTAAATATCCTGAGATGTGTACTTACTTTTGATTATGAAATGTCAATTTAACAACTACAGAGATTTAACTCTAGAATTTAAATAAATTTGTTAAATCAAGCACTGTCGATTCTAACATAATAATGTGTTGTTAGAAAATATGAATTTATATACATAAACGGAAGTGCTTCATTTTAATACTAAAATTTTAAAGAGTAGAAGTTAGTGAAAAGAATAGATGAAATCTATAGTGCCCATTATCTGACTTTTTTTTTCACTCTGGCAATAACAAATTGACCAACGCGAAGGATTATAGCCGTTTACCGGTGCTAGGTAAAAAGCACTAAATTCTCTAAATCTCACATTAAATATAGATGACTGAAATGAAGAAGCAAATATTTTATTAGCATATTACTTATTCTCACTTACATGATTGATATATTTTACAAGGGCCGGCAACATAAAATGCCTTACACACGACTTGATAAACATAATAATACACAATACACAATAGATTTACATTGGATAGTCTCATCTTACCCCAGGCCAAAATATACCATAGTCATATTGAACCAAGTAGAAGACACAGGTCTGGGGTTGCGGACGTTCAAACCCAAAAGCTTTGATACTTCCAGTAATTCTTCCAGTGTAGCGGCAATTAGAAGCTTCACATACTTTTTCCCATCCGTGTATGGTAGGCTCAAATCTTGGATAGCGACTGAGATTGCCTTAAAACATAAACAAAAAGTGGCTTTTTGGTTGTGTTTTTTATTTTATTTTAGAAAATATATATTTAGTAGAACTGCAACAAGTAAAATGTTGATTCGCCTGTAGCAAAACACTGGTTTTAATCAAAACGTAAAATCTACAGAATATTTTTCATCTCTTATCTTTTTTTACAATGACATTGTAGCGTTGTTTAGTCACTGTTTTTAAATAATCATAAGGGCTGAAATTTTTTTCTTTTTTTTCGTGGTCTGTTTTGGCTTTTACCTTTTCGTGGAGCGTTGCATGGCTTAGGCTTTGTTAGGTCATATGTTTTAGGTTCAAACGTTGGACGACGGTTTACTGCACCTTTAAAGAGAAATTAAAAAAGAAAATTGTTATATGTCAGATTTACCTTTGCAAAACCTGCTGATACCTTTCTAAAAATATGCTAACATTTAGATTTATCATCAACAATTTGAAACTCAAAAACACATCTAATCTTCCCTCATTTAATCTTTATAGATACTCTGTTATACGTATTGTAGATAGTTTGTAAGTAACGACCGCCAACACAAAAGGATATAAGAACGTCGCAATGGTTCTACCTGAGAGGTCAATATTGAAGGTGAAGAACATCAACAACACCAGAGCTATCTCCATCTTTCTACCTGTTATATGAGGAATTCTATTGATTGCGTTAGTAATGTAAATAAAGCTACAAACACTATTGTAAATTGTTTTTAATCATGTAGTTTAGCTCTAAATTCTTCAAGTATTCATTGCGTGACAATTATGCTTTTTTTACAATGTGAATGCAGTAATGCCTTTTCTATTTTACAAAAAAAGAAGGCAGTGTCAATATATAAGAAAACATTGTTAATATTATAAGCAATTCAATGAGTTAATCGATACACTATACCAATAGCAATCATACATTGTTCGTAAACTAGAAAGCAACTCCAATCCCGGGGGGGGGGGGGGGGGCGGACACTGTTAAAAGTATATATTTTCTATATAAATTATATAGGGGGTCGGCGTGGTCGAGTCGGTAAAGCTCATGGTTGCTAAACCGAAAAGTCTCGAGTTCGAACCCTCGGGCAGATGAGGCTCGATAGCTGGGGACAGCCACTCTTCTAGGAGAGACAACTCCAAAATTAAACAACTGCTGCCTTGTAGTTTGTTCTTGGTTGGACAAAGGCTATGGAAGCAAATCCAAAAAGAAAAGCAGGCTGAAATCGGAGTCAATGGCCTCAATGGCGCATAACCAGTTGACACGTAACGCTTAATTGTGTTGAAGGCGCATAACCTGTTGACACGTAACGCTTAATTGTGTTGGAGGCGTGGTCGAGTCGGGGGGGGGCGGTAAAAAATTTTCGGGGGGGCTTCGCCCCCCCCCCCCCCCCCCCGAAGAGATGCCTGGAAGAAACTCTGAATGCAGAGAGGCATTAATTAGAATTTATTAGGCCTAGATATAGACTATAGAAAACTCTAAATCTAAAAAGATCTAGATCTAGATCTAGAAGCTATTAGATTATCAACAAATATTTTTATAAACCTAAACAATATAAAAATCCACTATAAAAAAACTAAAATATTTGGTTGATATACTTGCCGCATTATAGATCTATACCTTTATCTCATTATTTTTTTAAAGGTTCATAAAAGGCTACACAAAAAAATTTTTGCTGATGTTGCCGAGTTTTAAAAACAATTAACCGCCTGTTGTCTTTTTTGTTCAGATCAGTGTTACTGAATCGTGCAAATGTATAGGAATTCCCGTAGTGGTATAAATTTAAATGTGCATTAGATATGTGAAAGAAAACAGGAAAATGTTTTTCGTCAATTTTACTTTCCCGTGTACAGAGTATAGAGGAAGTATTGTAATCGTGCACAAAAATCACATGCAATTTTGACAGTTTTCATCGTTTTACACCTCAGTACTTTAACATATACTTATTTTAATCGGGCAAAAATTATAAATGCAGATTAATAAAAATGTCGGCGTTTAATGCGTAATCTAGTCGGAAAAACTGGGCTTTTCAATTCTGTCCGTATGTCAAAACAAAGATGAAGGAGGCCAGTGTTTCTTTTTTCTCCGGGGTGGCACTTGATATTTTCGGCGGGGGGGGGGGGTGACTTTTTTCGGGTCCAACCCCCCCCCCCCTCCCCCCTCGAATAGATGCCTGGAAAAAACTCCATTAATCAAGTTAGTTTACGAAGTGTTGCATATCGAAAGGATTACAAAGATGAAAATCAGAAGTTAAGAGGATGGTTCGAAAAAGTATTGAAAGCAATCATGCCAAAGGTGCACCCACAGATCTGAAGATACATAGGGCAAACATATCACCCATTAGATACACTATACTGACTGAGAAATTTTAAAAATAATAGTCTGCTTGACAACGTGGAATTTAATATTAATTCTTTTAATCATCCTTTAGACATGTATAACATATAGAAATTTATGTAGAGAAACATTTAAAGATAAACATTTAGATTACTAAAAGCTGTTCAAACTACTTATCCTAAAAACTCTGTATCTCATTAATTTACTGTTTATTTATTTTAGGAATAGGTCTCCGACAAGCGACACCATGAATCTTTTAAGGAAATATTTTGTTCTGGGCTTTTGGCTGGCCAGCATGACACTCTTTGCTCTTTTTTTATGAACGTGAGTAAATCAATTGTTATATATGTGTATATATATATATATATATATATATATATATATATATATATATATATATATATATATATATAAATATATATATATATATATATATATATATATATATATATATATATATATATATAAATATATATATATATATATATATATATATATATATATATATATATATATATATATATATATATATATATATATATATATATATATATATATAAAAGTATGCTGGTTTGTGAGATGGTTTGACCTTAATGAATTACTAAACCTTTCATCCGATCGCCATGAAACTTTGGGGAGTTGATGAGAATACACCATGCAAAATACCTGCGAAAAATATTTAAATTTCGTTTGGGCGGCGCCCTGCAGGGTGTGATTTGGTATCCCTGGGCTTACTTTACTCGTAAGCGCTATGACGCATACTTTCGTTTTAATGAGTGCAATGGACTATGAGTACAATGGGTTACTATAGTCAATCACTAAATCGAATAAAGCGCGCCTTCTGGCTCCCAGACAGGGTGCTATTTTGCGCCATTGGCTTTTCCGTAAGCGTTATAGTGCCTACGTTTATTTAAACAGTGCGATGGACTTTGGATTTTGGATAAGATGGGGTATTATAGTCCTCACTAAACATAATTAGGCGCGTCCGCCAGCACACCGGCATGGTGCGATTTGGCGCCTTGCACTATCCTGTGAGCACTATGGCGCCTACGTTCGTTTTAAGGAGCACCATACAACATTGACACGTTGGCACAGGACATTCGATGATTAAACTAAGCCAGGGGCCGTATGTGGCGCCCTTGTAATATGGGGCTCTTGGGAGCGTCCTTCTGCGTTCCTGACACCTGGGCGGTCGATGAACTGTGTTCTAACTCACTATTACGGAGACGATGAGTGATTAACGTCATCAACATGCCCTGGGGCGTGCTGGGCGGAAGTGTAGGTAAACCCGTGTCCCAACAAATACGATCCAAGAAATATAGATCAGTCAACGTTTACATTTAAATAACTCGGTGTTAGAAAACAAGACCACACGTCTAAAACTATAGAACTGGTAACGCATTGATAAAACCCTCTTAAAATATTTTGTCAAACTTTCTTCTAACGCGTAGGGACGAGCAACTAGTTTATTTTTAATTAATTCATGAGAAATTAATTAGTCATCCAATTAACTCATATTTAATGTCCGATTGCATTGTGTTCATGCCTTGTCCAACGTGCCAACTTTGAAACGAATCTGTCAGTAGAAGTGCCCAAATATTCGCTCGAGCGTTTCGATCTATGACGACAGACTTACGAAAGACTAAACGAGGAAAGAAGTTAAATAAAAGCTTGTAAAAAAAAGTAGTCGCATTTGCACTAAAGTATTTTGCTTCCTTCAAAGGAACTCAGATATTTAAATGATTAACCCTGTGCCTTAATCTTTAAACAATTACAGAACATATTTTGACATTCTATGTAGGTGAACACAGCAGTATAAAAGGAAAAAGTCAGGTGAGTTGTTATTTCATTTTAAAAAGTATGATAATATAGGAGATAAGTGGGTAGTATAAATAGTTTTTACAGTATTCCTGTATTAGAGAAAAGGTAAAGTATGGAAAGAGTTCCAGCGCCTCCACGAACACATTTCAATGCTTAAAATACTACGAGAATGGGCAAAGACACAACCTCAACAAAAATGGAAAAAGACGATAGTTGACCAAAGGAAAGACTGGCATGACTGCAGACAAGACAACACAAACGATACACAAGAAAACAGTCAATGAAACCATCAATGCTAAAGCACTCCGAGTCGCCGAGAAAAAATAAAGCGCAAAGGAAGAAGACAGCACACGTTGGAGTTTTTTGCTACAAAGAATTGACAGTAAAGAAGACTGTGAAACATAAAAACAAAGCTCATCCGAAATATAAAAATTGATTGCACTGCAACAGAAAAGTTAAAAGTAATCTAGCAATCAGTCATCATGCAAGGGGAACACACG